CCAACAAAAGGCGTGCAACCTCCCAGCGCCCATTCTGAGCTGCGATGTACAATGGGGTAGCGTCACCCATGGCTTTCTCCTTGTCAGCTTTGGCCTCCAACAACAGGCGTGCAATCTCCAAGTGGCCGCGGCGGGACGCGATGATCAATGGGGCCTCATCACCTAAATCCGGGTCTTGTGGCCTTTGCAGAATCGTCTCCACTGCTGATGTCTGGCCAAGTCGTGCAGCATGTTGAAGCTCTTCTTCTTGCAGTGCAGATGTTGAGATGAAGTTCACAAGGTTTCAAGATGTGCTCGTCGTCCGTATCACTCAACAGGATGTCATCGCCCAAAACCAGCAGCCGTTGCCTGAATCTCGGCTGCCCGCAGAAGCTGTGCAAGCGTTGCTTCAGTGCCCGGACAGGAGAGCTCTCTGCACTGAGCGTGTCAAGAAAGCTCTGCAACTCAATTGTCAAGAGGACTTCCCCCGACGCTGAGTGAATGCGTAACATCCGTGGCGTGTAAGAGTACCCTAAGGGTCCATGTGCCCATATAGTATATACTTTGGTCTTTGTCTTAATGCAGTCCCTATATAGGTACGCTGGGGCCAAAGTATATAATATTTGGGTACTCCCAAGCGGTTTGAGGGTTCATATACCATCTAGGGAGTCAGAGTACAAGGGTATAGGGCCCCTACTTTGAAGGGTCATTTCGTCCTTAAGGTGAGAGTTTACTCAAGTAGCAGCTCTCATCTCCAAGGATTCTGCGTGAGCCTTGGCAAACAGGCAGCCCGTACGCTTGAAGACATGCATGGACGATAAGGGCTACGAAAAGCTATAAGGGCTCTTCTAGGGGTTATACTCTAACAACGATTTTATGATTTTATGAGTCCGTAGCCGTCTCGTTCCTGGATTTTTATCTGGGCTTTCGATCTTGCACAACGCTACTGGTCATGCAGAGGCCTCGATAATTAGAACATGGTTTTGCGCATTTTGGGCTCCTTTGTAGTAAAATTATATAATAAGGAACCCCCACAATAGTATCGGTAACTATTCAGGCGCCTATATTAATCGGTGTAATGTTTCGGACTTGAAGCCCAACTCAACTCCGAAATGCAAGCGAAAGACCGGTTTAGGGCTTAGGGTTTAGGGTCCAAGCGTTTCGTGTTGGCTGAAGGACTGAGTACCCTCCCTAGCTAGAAAAACTTAATCCTTCAAACTGTAGTGGTGTTATATAAGCCCCCCAAAAAAGTTAAAGGTTACCTACTCACATATAAATCCCTGTACTATCCAGCCCAATTAAGATAGGGATCTCCCTGTAGCTCATATATTATGTCATTTTTCGGCACCCTAAACCAACTTCTTGAGGCCCCCACCTAAGGAACGCCTTTCGGGATGAGTGCCCGGCGGCCAAATGAAATCGTCCCGTGGCCTCTGCCAGCCGAACGCCCAGCTCCTCCACTTCGGAATTTCGGCGCTCACACCCAACTTGGAGGTTCATGGGTAGTTTTAAGTTGGGTTATAAGTAGGGTTTCTATACTCATAACCCAAATTAGGGGACTCATAACCCCACTTACAACTACTCATGAACCTCCAAGTAGGACACTCCAGGCGAGGCATGTGGCGCGTGGTCTGCTTGAATGAAAGTACGTCTACTGCGTGAGTTCGGCAAAACAAAGAAGTGCCTTCGGGTTTCGGGTTTAGGGCTCCTTCACTTCTCCACTTTTGGGGGCCACAGAAGGAGTTCTTCTACGCTTGATATCAAAGGTTCCATACCGTGGGGGCCTGACGAACCAGAAGGTTGGGAAGACGGGGTCTTATAATAGGTTGCGAATAACTGGTTCCAAGGGGTTTCATGGGTTGCTAGATCGGGACCTGGAGACTGTGGAATGGGGTAGTCGTCGTCGTCGTCCCTGGTCGTCGTCGTCGTCGTCGTCGTTGTCGTTGTCGTAGCAGTAGCAGTAGCAGTAGCAGTAGCAGTAGTAGTAGTAGTAGTAGTAGTAGTAGTAGTAGTAGCAGCAGCAGTAGCCGCAGCAGCAATAGCAGTAATCGTTCTCCGCTCTTGTCATCTCCGTGCCTGCTGTGTGACGTGGCGCTCCCCAATCGTGTAGAAGTAGAAGCCTTCGGCTATTTGCTGTGCGGGAATAGAATCACTTCAGGCTTCGTCGACCTTGGCATGTGCTTAGAGGGCGTACTTTCAAGACATGACTTCGGGATTCGAACTGCATAGATGTCGGACGACCACTGACGATTCCAAAGCTTGAGTCATCTACTATTTGGCTCTGCGACACCTTGTACTCAAAGCCATGCACGCATCACGCAAGACACATTTTCTTACCTGGCCGCTGCGTCTTTCATCACTTGTTGGTCCGCTGACGATGAGGACAATCCGGCATCGGCACGCAGAACAAATCCCACTGTCTAGAACCATGTGGAACCATCCCGGAAGGTCTGGATGTCCGAATCTGTGTTGCTCAGCATGTAACAGGCCCTAACAGTCGATCAGCAAAGGATGATGCACAAGTGTTAAGAACTGAATGCTGGTGGCACCACCCGACGAACCTCAACTGCAGCCTTCTCTTCATCATCTTTCCGTAGATGGCAATAAATAGCCTTTGTAGCTACCGCAGTGCGCAGCAGCCTTCCCTCAGATGCAACGTCGCTCTCCTAGGCTCGCTGCTCGAGTTTCTTACGGCTGGTCTGGAGGGTTGATATAGGGGCCTTAATAAGAATAGGGTGTTGGAGTATATTATACGATAATTATCATAAGGAACCTCAGAATAGTATAGGTAATTATTTAGGCCCCTATGTTACAGCGACGTCCGTGTAACCGCTGGCATCTGACAGGGAAGCTACATGCAACCGCGTCAAGAGTTGATGAACAAATGAATGCGGCCGTGCCAGCACGCATCGGAATCTAGTGTCGCATCCTGTCTCCAGAACATCGGGCTCTGCAAAAAACAGTGTGGAAGCATTCGGCACGGCTAGTGCAGCGCATACCATCTTCAAGGAACTTGTTTAATGCAGAAGGCAAAAAATGTACTGTATGTACCTTCTGTTTCAGGTGTTACGGCCTGGCTCCAAAAATGTTACTGTAGGGGCCTAGCTAGCTGTACTATTTTGGGGGGTTCCTTATTATAATAGTATAGTGGGCCCCAAAACCCTATTCTAATTGTTGAGGCCCCTATGTTACCCTTCTGACTTCATTTGTATCGGGTGCAAATGTATGGCCCAGTTTCAGGCTCTTGGGCCGCCCCGAGCATAATATAGTGGCCTTCATAAATTAGAATAGGGATTTGGGGCCCATTATACTGCATTTATCATAGGGAAGCTATAGGGTCCTGGGGTTCTGGGGCCCAATAATGGCTAATCCTGGCAAAGGGTTTGCTACTTGCCGCTCGTCAGGACTTCCCTACAAGAACGCCTGTGTGCTGGCATGGCGCCAACTGTGTGGCTTGAGCGCCTGAGGAAGCGTGGAAGCATTTCTGACTTGAAGCTACCGTGAAGGTGGAACCTAAGAAATAACTCAACAGCAAGCGCGGGAAGCCTTGTAGCGTGGCGAAGTGCCTTCTAAGTGTACTGTGCTACCTCTAAACCCGAAGTACTTGGTTCACAGGATTATGGCTGGTAACCCTAAACCCTAAACCCCTAAAGCCTAAACCCCTAAACCCTAAACCGTTGTTTTGAGGCGAAGCCCGAGCTTCTGCTTCCTCGCTTCTGTGAAGTGAAGCTGTCTGCCAGTTCAGCCGAGGATTGGAGGAACTCGCAGTTCTGATGAGCGCCTGACCACAACCACAGTTTAGGCTTTAGGGTTGAGGGGCTTTAGGG